CTCTCTCTCTCTCTCTCTCTCTCTCTCTCTCTCTCTCTCTCTCTCTCTCTCTCTCTCTCTCTCTCTCTCTCTCTCTCCGCCCCCCTGTGTGCGTGTGCGTGACACAACCACAAATCAACAAAGCTTGGAATACCTGGACGTTTGGACTGAAAACGATGTTGTTGAGAGCGATCCCAAGAAATGCCACGCAAGCAGCATCGGTGGCAATCCACGATGGCGGGAGCTGAAGGACAAAAGAGGGAGAACGATGAGGAGGAGGAGAAAGTTCAGATTGCAGCTTACCTCTTTCGCGCGAAGCTGTTCACCCTCCTTCGAAAAAAAAGAGAAGGTTCGTCACTTGGCGGCTTCCAACATCAACTTACAGCAGCACTCTGCTCATGTTTCGCTGCGGCCCTCTCTCTCTCTCTCTCGTGTGCTTGGCTGGCACAACACCCCCCGCACCCCGTACACGCACACCCACGCAGAAGGACAGACGCAAGCACGAATGCCCACAGCCGCTCCCCGCAAGCATGCACCACGGACAACGCAAGCACACAGACACGCAGTAAGGACGGCGGCGTAGAGCTACCGGTAGTGGGAAGAAGCGACTGTAGCAGCTACCGGTACCTTTTAGAAAAGCGTAGGGCTATCTAGGTCCACCGGGGTACTGGGCCAACGGCCCGGATTGCCGCACGGTTTCAAGATCGTATGACGATCCAGGCCGTCGACCTCGTTCGGCGCGACGGCCTGGATTCGATATCTGTGACATTCTTTCAACGATCTGGGCCGTGACTGGTCGGACTGCGGACGGCCTGGATTCGAGATTTGTTAGTGGAGGGAAAAAATCACCTGGTCTCAGTTTTCTGCTTTTTTTTTTTGCGTCAAAATTCAATTTCCATGTCAAAGATCAACCCAGAGCCGGGGACCTCTACATCACTGATAGAAGGTTACTGGAAGCATCATCCAGCTCTTGGCTACAGGCTCTACAGCCCGCAGCTCTTGGCTGCCTCCTAGCAAGCTAGTCTTATATTTTACACTAATCCAGCGGCCTAGCTCAGTTGGTAAGACATGCAAGTGGCATTCGGGAGGGCTTGGGTTTAATCCCCATTGACCTCATGTGCCTTCCTGGGCAAGCTTGGCGCCCGCCACCAAACTCAGCGTCAGACACTTGCTGACGCCCTCTCTCT